GTAAACACTTGTACATCATGATCGGATTAGAGAGTTATTAAAATTGTGTGTTTCGCTGCTTCATTCCGCTAAGTTCGTCCAATTGGAACCTACAACGACGTCATAGAAATTATAGACGTCATTTGTAACTTGGAGGTTTTTTACTAGTCCATTAGCACAAAAATATTTTAAGTCCACCACAGTGACCCAGGCTCTGTCTGGGTATTTATTTATTTTTTATTTTATCATATTTTGCATCAAAAATGTACTTTAGACTATAAAGTATAACTTATTTAGTTTCTTTTAATCTTTAATGTTTTCTATGTGATTTAGGGATGATTTCATTTTATTATAATGATACTGAAAAAACATCATGAAATGCAATTTAACACAATTTGTATATTGTAAAATACTGTAAATAGATAATGCCTAAATACGCACTGATTCAAAATATTGATGGACTTACTTGTTTACTCTGTCATTTACTTCACTTTTGTCGATTTTCAGGCCATTTCGTTGAATCCGGCCTATATTGTTTATGTGACAGTTAAAGCCCGAGTACCGAGGCTGTTAGCCAGATTCAGCCTGAGGGCGAAGCCTGAAGGCTGTATTTGGCTAAGAGCCTCGGTATTAGAGCCTCGGTATTAGGGCATGATTGAGCAGGTTTTCTCAAAAGAATAATTTAAGATATAATTTCTATAGAAATTGTTGTTGTTCAGTTTAATTTGCATAGATATCTTATATACACTAGATAGCAAGCACATCTCTCTTTGTAAAATTGAAGCCAAGAATATTCCAGCGGTTAGCCCCATTTGAATAGATGGCGGCCATGTTGGTAGTTCCCACTCGCTAATAAACGCTTAAAAAACAACAATAACTTATAGTTAAAAATTATTTGGAATAACTTTAACCACAGTTAATAAAATAAGTTAATGTTTAAGTTCCCTGTTTAAGAAATAGAAAACATACGAATCTTCTCGAGCAAACACTCGAGCCTCATGTTGACCTTGAAAATAATACGAGAGCCTCTAGTTCTTTACAATGTCTGGATAATATGACTGAATTAAAAGAGGCAGAAAGTTTTGTAAGTGTTGAAAACCCGCTTGAAGATGCTTCTTTCAGTGGTGAGGGTCTGGGTAATAATAGCGTTATTGTATGCGAAGTTTTCACTGTTGATGACAATGAAAGATTATTAATAGAAACTGAAGAATTATCTGTTGGTCCAGATAATAAGCGAAACAAAGCCCTAGAAAATTGTTCATTATTAAAAAACCCTAGTTATTTCCATCGTTCAAAAAGCGGCTTATATAGGACAAAGGTCAAAGGCCCCGGCGGTCCATCACCTAAACTACATACGCAGCAGAGTAATTTGGTACAGGGTAGAATAGCTAACAACCAACCCATTCCAACTCGAATCACTAGAAGAGAGGAACCGACGAAAGATCGACGAAAAACTAGTCTGAGGCGGAAAAAAACAAAATCTTCATGTGAGCAGGTTTTTCGTTCAGAAATCAGACGGAAAGACAAAACGAAATGGTTCAGGTTTTATTACTAGATGATTTCTTATCCCTAAACCTATATA